TATATATATATATATATTGTTTGTCCTATGTTCAGCCTTTCAGAAAGAGGATGCATACATAGATAAGAGTGGAAATTTCAACTGGGAATTGATGGTGCTAACTGCTAAAGAATGTAGGGAAATTTTAGTTTCACTGATGCAAGTAAAAGGGACCAACCTTGACTGGTTCGTTTTCTTTCTTTTCTTTGTGCTTTTTGTATAATGCAATAAGAATACAAGATAAGAGGATTATCGAGGGAAAAAAGGGGTATACTTTACATAAACTTCGTTTTATTATCGCCTAGTAGATAATTCATTTGATATGTTTGACCACGAAGTATTCGTGGATGAGTCTAACCTATACTTTTTTTGCCTCAACGGTGAAATCTAAAGCAAGAGAATCGAAATATTCTATTTTAAAGTGAATTCAGGTAGATTCTTTGCACTTGTCAAATAGTACTAATGTTTTACAACATGGGACAATGAGAATATTTTATTGGTATATATCTGGTGTTAGGAATGGCAATGAGGCGGCGCGGAGCGGGTGCGTGGCGAGTTTGGCAAAACTCACAAAAATTTCAACCCGTCCCGTCCCACCCGTCCCGTATATTTATTTTTCAATTTTCAACCCGCCCCGCCCTGCCCTGCTTGGACCTGCCCCACCCCACTTAATTTTTTTCTTTTTTCTTTAATAATATATGTCTAAATTAATTATCTTTTTTATTATTATATCTAACTTTAATTTAACAAGTTTTCAACCATGCGTATGGTGCAACTTTAATAATAGGAAGATACGCAGCGTATCTGTGGCTGTCTGTATATGAACCCGAATATCATCTCGTAAGCTAACAAAAATGCCTAGGAATGCTCATTTGTTTCTTTCTCTTTCTTGGTTTCTGATACTCTTAATATTACATTATACTAATATTAAGTGCAAATGTATTAAACATGAAAGGAATGCCATTATTCAGATTTATTAAAGACATAATTAATCAGCTGTAAAAGCTGAAGAATCAAGAAAGATTAATTCCAACTTTGGTAAAATTTAAAGTTGCCCCGCATTGAACCCGCAACCCGCCCCGCCTCGTTTTAAAAACTTTAAAATTATTTTACCCGCCCCGCCCCGCCCCCCACCCATATAAAAGTAAACCAGCCCCGCCCCGCCCCGCCCCGCATCCGCCCGCCCCATTGCTATCCCTATCTGGTGTTGAGCGTGTTGATGAAAGTAGCATTAAGACTACTCTGAAATGAACTCCCACTTCTTCGAAACAGCAAAAACAATCCCCCCACCGTCAAAACCACCTGATATCACACATGAGAATACCACTAATCATGGCGTGGAAGACAAAGCGTCTTTCAAAGAAAAGCTACTAACCTCAAACCCAATGAACTTTACAAATTCCTTAACCCTATTAGGGGTGTGCATTCGATTTATCGATTCGATTTTGACCCTTATCGATAATTACTTATCGATTATCGATTTGTACATATGCTTATCGTTATCGTTTCAATAAGGTTTCGATTTTTTCGATTTCGATTTATCGATTTTGGGGGCTTATCGATTCGGTTATCGATTACACCAATAAGAAAATTTGCGGGATTCCACGGAAAGTATATCGCTATAAACGCGCCTAACTAATATGGACAAAAAGAAGCTAAAATACGAGGAACACCATTTATAATATAAGAATTGTGTCAACAAGCACATGCAACAAAACTAAAGTAAGGGATCAAATGTATGCCACCAACACTCCAACGGTATAAAAAAAACAAAACAAAACAAAACATATCATCACGGCTAATTCTGTTTTCCATTAATTTGAACTTCATTCCTTTGATCTTTAAATATGATCATTCCTTAAATGTGGTAGAGGAAATAATAGGGTAAGGGACTTAGGGTAAAGGAAAGGGTATAGATTAGGGAAAATAATATTGTATAGCCGCTTTCAAAATAGTAGCGGAATATATATATACATTCTGTATGTTATATTAATCTACACAAATAGGTAATTACTCATTTAACAAGTGTCTACAATGACCTAGGGGTGTGCATTCGATTTATCGATTCGATTTTGACCCTTATCGATAATTACTTATCGATTATCGATTTGTACATATGCTTATCGTTATCGTTTCAATAAGGTTTTGATTTTTTCGATTTCGATTTCGATAACAAATAATCGATTCGATTTATCGATAAACCGATTCGAATGCACACCCCTAAACCCTATCCCAAAATTCAATAGAAGAAATATTCCCAAAAGATGGATTGCAAGAGCATTTATTGCAAGAGCATTTAATACAACTCAATACACGGGTTAAAGCAATAGCTCTAATCGAGGAAGACAAGCAGAGAATTTATGAGCCTTGGAAATTCTCATTAATTGTTAAGCTATTTGGAAAACGAATGCTACATCACTACCTAAAAAAGAAGATCCAAGAATTGTGGCGTCCCTCGGAAAACTTCCCACTAATTGACTTAGGGGATGATTACTACAACATCAAGTTTGCTAAGAAAGAAAATATGGAGAAGGCCCTCATCCATGGACCATGGTTTATCAACGGTCACTACTTATCAAACACAAAATAGAGACCAAACTTCGTAGCAAACAAAGAAAAATTAACAGTTTCGACAGTTCGGATCAGACTACAACAACTGCCAACGGAGTTTTATGATGGAAAAACTGCTTGAAAAATTTGGAAATGCCATAGGGCGAATATTAAAAATAGATGTTTGCACTTATACCACAGTCAGAGGCTGATATGCTAGGCTCTGTGTTGAGCTTCCGCTGGAATCTCCTGTCCAACCTTACATCTACATAGGTCAACATAAGCAGTCTATACACTACAAAGGTAAAAAAACTTTATGCAAAAATTATGGACGGTTGGGCCATATCCAAACTCAGTGTAATTACATCCAGAAGGAATCGATGACCAAAACATCTCAAGCGAAATATCAAACATCCAAAGTCAAGGATCAAACAATCAAGAACTTGGAAGAAAAAATAGGGGAATGGAAGACAGTGTCTTTTAAGAAAGGAAGGAAGCATGATTCAAAGAGCAATCAAAGAACTTCTTCAAATCCAATGGAAAATAGCACAAACTCAGGTATCACGGTAAAGTTGTTCAATGCAACCACTGGTATGTACTTAGATACTCAAGTCTTGCAATATAAATCAAAAAATCCTGTTTAGATGCAAGATTTTCACATCGTAAAGGCTATAAAAAACCTACCCATGAAAAATACCACCATCCGAACTCAAAACAACTTTCTCTTTTAGAAGATGAGCAAATGGTTTTGTGTGAAACCACTTATTATGATAAAAAAAATAATAACTACAATAAAAAAGATTATTTAGCCAAAAATGATCTCTTGGAAATATCTATGGACAGCATGGATACGTCAGACTTACACGTGGCATTAGAAAACCCTTCAGTCACTTATGCCATGCACGACACCCCCACAAATAACTTGATCAATAATAATATAAAAAATAATATAGACCCTACTACCGCTAATCCTAACCAATTAAATGGCCATTCCCTTACTAATTACCCTATAACTCAAATAACTACTACTAATCTACCTCGTTTAGAATTAGACCATCAAATACTTGAGCATGCCTTACAAATGGCCAACTCCTAAAATTGAACAAATGGCACCTCAACTCATGAACACAAACCATGCAAGATCTGAAGAAGATCTAGTTAAATGCAATACGTCATCCCAAACAAACAACATGTAAATTGAACTACCAATCATTAGTCCAATTACCAATACACTCTCTGTCAAACCAAAAGCCACGCCTGAAAAAAACTCTATAAAAACCCACAACCTTTCTCTGAAAAATGCCAAGAATCCCGTCCACTTTGAGAAGAAGACACAGATTAATCCAAATCTTGAGACACCACAGAGCCCAAAGTATGGAGAATCTACCCCCTATCCCCCACAGTTGGAGAATCCACAAATAATCCTAGTACAACCTCCTCAAACCCAAGACTATCAACCACCTTCATGGATGGAAGTGGGACTACTGGGTCATGCAGTGTCTTTCAATGTCCAAATAAATGGACAGGAAGCAATTGTCATCTTTCACAACACACAATATCTAGCTCAGTTGATATCCAAGGGAATGAGACTCGCAATGAACAACTACTTGAATCAGGTGTGGTTAAACAACATCTTACACCCGCTGGCACCATCAATGAACCCTCATCTAATACATATAATGATGCACCAGTGGAACATGGAACCACAATTCAACCCCATGTAACCACTAAACCCACACGTAGATATGCCATTCTTCCCTTCGGAAACTCTCTCTCACCTAAACCCTATCTTCATGCCTTGGGAGAATCCTCCCCAGCCCCAAGCTTACCAAGCACCACCAATGGAACAACAACCTCCAGTGTTCCAACCCCAGATGATGCAAGAGCCAGAAGAAGAAGAGGCTCTACTGGAGGAAATAGGAGATCCCCTAATCCCAAGAATGGAACAAATCTTGGAGTTCTCAAGCATAAACAAGGTAAAAGTATTTCTCTTTATGGAGATGCAAGAGAGGAGGCATGTTCTCAATTGTCCACTAGCACAATACAAGTGCTCAATAGACATCAGGCCTCCTCAAGACCCAACAGTGGGCAAGTGAGCCATGATTCTAGTACCCTCACTCAGGAGGAACACTGTATTCTTAAAGGGAGGGAGGGAGAATGGGGAACCAGCAAACCTAGAACTGAACTTAGCCATGAATCGTCCAACTAACTTCATTATTTAGAACATTAGAGGAGGGAATA